ATATTTGGCTTAAAAATAAAAAATTCTCGAGTCTCAAGTAACTTAACAATATTTTAAACGGATAGGAGTCAAAATTTCCTTACTACATCTAAAGGATAAAAGACAGTTTGCACCGTAAAATATCATCTTACACACAACGCCTGAGTACAATCCTTCTGGTCTATTATTTCGTTAAATAAAATGATAATTCTGGCAAAAAAATGCTCAATGAGAAGCTGAATTGTGATATCAGGCGACGAAATTTCTCATGTAATTATTTAACTAAGCACGTAAATTTTTAGACAAATTTTTTTTTAGACAAGCATTATAGCCCCCACGTTTTTAGAGAAATTTTTTTTTTTGAAATATACTCTGAGAATAACATTCTGATCTTCGGTTTGCGACACTGATGAGTTCTCGTCCGAAGCAGTTTTCTTTGAAGGTAAAGGTGGAGGCGGTTTTCCGGATTTAGGAGATCGGCTACCAGTGGTCTGAAAATACTCATGAGTTGTTTGTCGTACGTATCTGTTATCTTCGATAAAAAATGCCCAGAATTAAATTCTTTTTAAATTATTTTTTTACCGTTTACTCATTTTTTTTTGTCAGTACGACGATTATGGTAACAAAGATAATTTAGATGGTTTAATATGTATTACTCTTCTTAATTTTACAAAAAATTAGTTTTTAATTTTAATTTTTTTTATGTATTTTCGCAGTTATAGAGCAGAAGATATATTGATAAAGGCCAAATGGCCATGCTTTAGTTTGCTTGCGCTGCGAAATCTGAAATTCATACCATTCCGTTTTGAATTTTCATTCTCGAGACGATATCAACGCCTGCCAAATTTTGATTTTTCAACAAAGAATCTGCTTTTGCAAGTTTCTCGTCAATATCCTAAAAAGCAATTTCGAACATTTTACCTGGAGGAAATTCATAAGGTCCTTTAATAATTTAAAAAACACAAAACGGGAGTACTAGAAGTAATACTTCAAGTGGCATTAATGCAAAAGTGATAAAAAATGAGCTAAAAAATGCATCTATTATAAAAAAAAATTTGCTGGTCACCTTGTATTTCTCATCGTCACGCTTAAAGCCTTCACTAACAGTTTGACGAGCTGCTGCCGCATTCGCACAAACAACCTAAATAAAGAAATTTGCTTTGTTGTTTAGAAAAACAACGAACATAAATATAAAAGTGTGCGAAGAAGCGGAATTTCTTCAGTTAATCCCATCATCTTTTTTTCGATGTATGTGGACCGATTTTTCATCTCAAGACCTATAAAAGCTGCAGGGCTGAAACTTTGGGAACTTAGCCTACATGCACATACGGGCCCCAATCCCCAAAATGGGCGCCATTACCTGCGTGGTACCCACGTAAGAGCCCGCCAAAAGTTTACTTCCTCGCTAGTATAACTCACTAACAATCACAAAAGGCCCCCGAAGGAACTACTGGGGAAAGGGGGGAGGGAAAGACGACGAGGAGTGGGAGGGGGA